ACAGTGAAATTTCTAAATTTGCAGTCCTGGGATAGCAGAGGATCTTCAGTGAGCAGCCTCACTGCCTTCTGTGGCTCACCCCTTCTTTCTCTCTTTTGGCTTGCAGGAGGTGGACATCTACACGGTGAAGGTGGAGGACCTCACCTTCACGTCGCCCTTCTGTCTCCAGGTGAAACGCAATGACTACATCCACGCCTTGGTAGCCTACTTCAACATAGAGTTCACCCGTTGCCACAAGCGCACTGGATTCTCCACCAGTAAGGGACAGACCCTTGGTCTGGGAGATTGACAGGGTAGTTGGGAATTTAGGTCTGGGACTTTGGAGTATTCTGGCGGGGAGGTCGAAGTCAGTTGGCAGCATCTTAGCAGGCAGCAGAAACAGCAATTCATAAAGCCAGTTGCCTTAAAAACTAGCCAGTGAATGCAGTGTTATTGGCCAGTGCCTCTGGGAAGAGTGTGCTATTAATGGCAAGGACAGCATCTGGCAACGAAGAGTTGGTCTGATCAGTGGGTTTCTGATTAGGGTCTGATTAGGCTGGGTTTCCTCTCATACTGGGAGTTCTTTGAGTTTTCATTTTTTTTCAGTTTCAGGTGGGTAGCCGTGCTAGTCTGTAGTATTAAAAGTAAATTCAAGCCCTGTAGTACCCTAAAGGCGAACCGAATTTCCCAGAGTGTAAGCTTTCATGAGTCAGCGCTCACTTGGTCAGATACAATAATAAAACAAGCCGGCAGAGGAGGAGTGAATTGTCATCATGGACTGATCAGACTGTATTCAGGTTACCAAACGACAACTGATTCTGCATTTTACCAGACTTGTTATCCTCACAACCCACTCCGGAATAGCAGAAAGACCTAAAGGGGATTATAATGGAAAAAGGCTCGTTGTGGAAATGAATACGACGGGCTCTAGAAAGTTGTGGAAATAAATACAACAGCCTCTAGAAAGAGGCTCTGGGCGGGTGCCCCGGTCTTGGACACTCAGTGTCAATTTGCTGTGGCGACCTCAGCAGGGTATAATGACATTGAGTCCACCATTTTTTCCAGAGGAACTGATGTCTGCTACCTAAAGAACAGTTGTAATTTTGAGTGATCTCCAGCCCTCACCTGGAGATTGGCAACGATGGTTCCCCGGAAGGGAATAGTTGGTTTGGAGGGTGGAGTCTATGGCTTTGTACCTGTCCGACATCCCACGCCACCTGAAACCTCACCCTCTCCAGGCTCCATCCCTCACATCTCCAGGAATTTCCCACCTGGAGTTGGCAGCCCTATCTTCTTCCCAGCCAAGCATCAGACCCCCCACACACCTGCAGCCTCTCCCATGCTCTGAAGCCCTGACTGCTACGTCACATTGGCTGTCATACGGGGGCCACCTCAGCAGCATATAAGGATACAGAGCCCACCATTTTCTCCAGGGGAACTGATCTCTGCCATCTGGAAAGCAGTTGTAATTCTGAGTGATCTCCAGCCCTCACCTGGAAATTGGACACATTTTACCTCAGAACAGCAAAACTGTTAGAATGTTAGAGGCAAAAGCCAATCAAGTCGCATAGCTTTTATTTATAAGGGAGATTGCCTGCATGGCAGGAGGGAGTTTTCACCGTGCTTGAAAGAAGGAAGGACCCTGCAGCCCTGTTGTGAAGCAGCACCTAAGAGCAGAGCAGGCTGGTGCTGAGGTTGCTCAAGGGGTGCCCCATGTGCATTCATGTGCGCGCCCCTTTCTGTGGCGTGCTTCCCTTAGCGACCTTCCCCTGCTCTTTTCGTCATCAGGCCCCGAATCTCCCTACACCCATTGGAAGCAGACGGTTTTTTACATGGAGGACTACCTAACAGTGAAGACGGGAGAGGAGATATTTGGCACCATTGGCATGAAACCGAATGCCAAGAACAATGTAAGTAAGGAATTTGGTTCTTAGCCCCGTAACTGCCCCTGGGAGTTTCTGCCCTGTTAGGGCCAGCCCTGGTCCTCTGCACGCACCTTCAGAGCTACTCTGCCTCACTCATGCATTGTGCTCCTGATTAGGAGGGGGGCTGTGCCCTCACATGGCATTAGACCATTGGCCCAGCTTTCTCAGTATTGTCCACCCTGACTGGCAGCAAAATTCTAAGGTCTCGGGCAGAGGGATATTCTTTTCTCATTCGCATCCATGCGTACCGCACAGGCTGTTAAACCAGCCAGCTCTGTCCCCAGCTGCCGAGCTTCATCAAGCCTTCTCCGTTGGCTGACATGTGAAGATGACGAATAAAATGGAATTGTTTCAGGTCTTGTTTTACACCTGGTTTTATCATGGGGCAGATGGGGGGTGGGACCATTGACATGCCTAGTCTTCCCCTTCCCAATGATCCATCTCCTGATCTCCGAACTCTCTGCTGCACCAAACTGAGAGGCTGGAACTGGCTTAAATCCTGTGTGTATTTACCAGTTTTCAGCGACACTGAAAGAACAAAGTTTGAGTCTAGTGGCACCTTTAAGACCAACAAAGTGTCATAAGCTTTTATGTGCATGCACACTTATCTGTCTATTCACTGAAGGAAATCTCGATCTGTCACATGAGTGTTGGTCATTAAATTAGATTAAGATCTCCGTACGCTTTTTATCGCGAATAAAACAAGCAGGCAGCCATTTTCACCGAGTTGCCGTAAGCCCCAACTCGGTGGCAGCATTCCCTCTTGGGTTCAAGGGCAGGTGCTTGCCATGTTGGTCAGCTAAATAATGCCGTGGCCTGGATGGCCCCGGTGGGCCTGATCTCATCAGATCTTGGGAGCTTAGCAGGGTCAGCCCGGGCTCATACTTGGATGGGGGACCACCTTGGAGGTCCCAGATCCCTACGCAGAGGCGGCCAATGGCGAGAGCCTCCTCTGTTCTCCTCTGGCCTTGAAAAGCCAGCAAGGTCGCCGTAAGTGGGCTGCAGCTTGATGGCACTTTCCCACTACCAGATTATGCAGCCCAAATGAAATCTCCCTGTCCTGTCCACTCAGTGTGGTTGTACTCTAGGAACAGGCACTCCTAGAACCGGCTCTCCCAGCAGCAAGGAATGGGCAGTCCCCTCCACCTCTGTGCATCTTAAAATGGTTCTTGGGAAGCACGCAGGACTGCTTGGGAAGGCGCCCAACAGCCCAGAGTGTGTGAGTCGTAGAGAGATCATTCTGAAGCCTTAGAAGGGAAGCTGGTCTCCTTTGCTCTTACCCCATTGGTGCGTCCTCTTTCTCTAAGGCAAAGGTGTACGCCCACTAGTACGAGTAAGATGAGCAGCACCCAGTAGTATGGAGAGGGGCTCAGTGGGAGAGCCTCTGCTTTTGGATAAAGTCCCTGGCATCCCCAGCTAAAAGGGATCGGGCATCCGGTGATAGGAAAGGCCTTCACCTGAGACCCTGGAGAACAGCTGTCAGTCTGACTGGACAATACTGAACTTGATGGGCCGAGTGAACTGACTCCAAACTGCTCAACCAGTTGCTACTAGCAGGCATCATGACAAAGTCGGGGGGGGGTAGGTAGGTAGGTCTTACTCAGTTATAATTTACCAAATGTTGCCTGTTGATTCTGGAAGCAAAAAAAATCTGAAGCCGGCTCCCCACTCCCTGAAGCCGGCTACCTCTGCCTTGGCTGCCCAGCCTTTCCGTGACAGTGGCCCAAAGTCCGCTGTGGCATCGAGAGATGGGTTCAGGGCAGAGGTGGTGGGTTTGGGAACGCCCACGAAGAGGATGGCTGGGGGTGCAGGAATCTTGGGGGAGGGTCTGAAGGCGCTCGGTTGGTCGCTGGAATTCCTCACAGATGAAGGGAAGTGTCCCCCTCCCCCAAAGGGGGTGGGGTTTGCTGCTTGGAAGGAAGTGCATGCTGGGAAATGGAAGACAGGCTTTCAACCAAGGGTCCCTTCTCTTTCCCCCACGCAGCGAGACCTGGACTTCACCATCGACCTGGACTTCAAGGGCCAGCTGTGCGAGCTGTCGTGTTCCACGGATTATCGGATGCGTTAACCCGTCTGCCCCTCTGCCATTTTCTTTCCCCCCGCCTCTCCTCCCCTCGACCTCCCTTGCACCCAGAGCGTAACCTGCCCCCTTACCCTCTTCTGTTGGCGTTTTCACGAATTCATTTCATTGTGTAGTTCCCTTTTTTGCTGCTGTTAAGCTGCAACTCTGGGCCAGCAAGGAAGAGGAGGGGCCAGTATTAGACACTGGGGGGGGGAGATAGCCAAGACCCCCTCCCCTACCAGATTGCCCCTCATTTTTTTCAATACCTCCCTCTTCCCACCCATCCCCACCCTCCCAAGGAACTGAGTCGGTTAGCGCAGCTGAAGATGCGCACGTGTTTTTGCCCATCTGTTCGTCCCGAGGCCCGAGCAGCACCACATCCATCATGAAGTTTTATCTCACTTGTTAAATCATTGTTGGTCTCCCCTGCCAAACTGTGATGCCCATAATCTTTCTGCCTCCTACACCATGTCCAGAGTAAACTCTGTTCCTTACTGTCTCCTCCAGAGCAAGTGTTGCTCAGGTTTTTTTTCGGGGGGGAGGGGGAGAAGAGAGTACACGTGTCTATTTAGATTTGATCGGGGAGGAGATGGGAGTCCAAACAGGTTTTTATCAAGGGGTGTGTGGAGGCAACATGCGTGCATATATGTGTGGAAAAGGCATCTCTATTTTGTGGGTGTTTTATTTTCCACTGGCGGTTTTGTACTTTCCTCCCCCTCTCTTAAAACTCCCTGTTTGGATCTGTGGGTATTTTTGTTTTTTTGTTTTTTTAAAAAAACAAACAAAAAAATCCCTTGGAAAGCTGACATTGTGTGACTGTTTCATAACTTATGGTTTTTATATGGTTACATTCATGAGGACAAAAAAATAATAAAAGAGGTTGAAACCACCCTGCTTTGCTTCTGCTTCATAATACCTGCTCACTGGCTGGTCGTGCAGCCTTGGAATTACATGGCTTCGGGCGGGGGGGGGGGCAGCGTCCACAATCCCTCAGCGTCTCTCACACTGCTTAACCTAGCACAGCAGTGGTGTGAACAGAAGGCTGGGGTGGTCGGATGGCATGGCTTCCTTGCTCGTGTTCCGGTATGCTGGGGTACTCCAGCAGAACCATCTGAGCCTGCAAACTGGAGCTGAATTTATCCAAACTAGGGGGTTATTGAGGCAGGCGTGTCTTTCTCCCATGCTGTTCCTACACTGGACTGGTACAAACTCCTCCCACTCTTTTGGAGGAACGTTCCTGCTACTTAGCTATTGCTGGAAGAAAATAAAGCGGTTGAGGTTTTATACCCTGCTTTTCTTTGCCCTAAGGAGTCTCAAAGTGGCTTACAATCACCTTCCCTTCCTCTCCCCACAACAGACACCCTGTGAGGGAGGTGGGGCTGAGAGAGCTCTGATTGAGCTGTGACCGGCCCGAGGTCACCCAGCTGGCTTCATGTGTCTGTTGGGGGGGGGGACTCAAATCTTATTCTCCAGATCAGAGCACACTGCTTTTAGCATACCACACTGGTGCTTGATGGGAAGGGATACAACATCATCGTTAAGTTTGACCCAAGGTTTGTTAGTTTGACTTGTGTGGTTTCAAGTGGTGCCTTGAGTGGAGGATGCTGCTAGCTGTGGTTAATCGTGGGACCTCCAGCCAGGTCCTGTTTTCTGGAAAGCGAAGTATTTTCTCCAGCTGTAAATGGAACATGTGTTAGATTCCCTGAGCAGGCTGCAAGAGGATTGCAACTGGAGCCCACATGAGCAGGGCCCGGCCCCTTTCTTTGTGTGTCATGTGACTTGTGTTGGTCTGAAGCCACAGAACAAAGTGGCACCTTCAAGACCAGCAAAAAGTTTCATTCAAGGCACAAGCTTCCGAGAGCGAGCACTTCTTCAGATCCAGTGAAACCAGGTGGCCTTTGCTGGTGCAGGGGGATTGAAGTTTAAATGTAGAGTTGGTATTGCTGCTGATTGACGTTAAGAGGTCCGTCCCTATTAGTTTTTGTAAGCCTACGGCTGTTCTCTGCTGCGGTCCTGATTTTCTTTTTTAGCGGCCAGCCTCGTTTCCTGTTTCCTAAGAGCAGCTCACTTGTGTCCCTTCTCTGTTAATAAGCTTGAAATTCTGAGACTGCTACCAAAAAACTAATCATTAACTGAGCAAAAGCTGGTGGGCAGGATTTCTTCATCTGAATCAGGGACTGGATCTGACCTGCTCTTCCATTGGTGCAAAAGGGAGGAGGAAGGTGTCTCCTTGGGCCACTCAAGAGGCTATGCTGGGGATCAAGGGACTGGCATGAGCAAACCCCATGTGTGACAGGCTTTGACGAGGAGGGGAACTGGGCAAGTTGGGTGGTGGGAAGCTGGCTGAATCCAACTCTTGGTTGCGCAACTGCAGCAGTAGAAAGCATGCTAAACCCCATGCCGTGCAGGGGACATGGAAACCTCCGTCGTTTGTGGTCACAGCAGAGGCTTTTGTGGGAGGCTGTCCAGAAAGATCAGTTGTAGTGACCGGCTGGTAAAGCAGTCTAAAACAGCCCCTTGCCAGGATAGGGAGTACTTGGCGGTTCTTTGCAGAACGTAGCAAATCCCAGACTTTGAGCGGTTGGTAGAGTCGCTGATGAGGAGCTGCGGTGCTGCGAATGCAAGCTCCAGTTGTGGGATTGCAGCAATATTGTCAATCATCCCGGTAGCCTCCCATGGCCGTGGTGTGACGCTAGCATCTCCCCATTACCTTTCCCAAGCAGAAAGGCCGCCTGGGAGCCCACCATTCAATGCAGTTTAAATACACTTGATAAACCATTGTTCTCATTTGTGGCCCCGGTCACACGGGAGACTTTGGCCCGGGACAGGGACGGATCGGGGGCGAAGCAAACGGGCGCGATCTCACCGCAACATCTGGGAAGCGGCGCGCACCCGTCCCCGATCCGTCCCTAAACCCTGGAACCCCGCTGCAAAAAAGAACCTCCTACAGAGGAGGACTTACCTGAAGCACCGCTGCAAGCCCGGCCGTAGGCACACATGTGCAGTCCGGCTGTCGCGCTCTTTCTTTAGTGGCTTCCTCCCAGCATCTGATCATGCCAGGGAGGAAGTGCGCGGCAGCTCAGGGGATCTATGTGATCCCGCCGCCACGTCTCTCTTTTGGTGTGGCTTTAGAAAGCCGCACTTTGCCCGTGCTATCCCCCCCCCCCGGTGTGGCAGGGGCCTGTGCCTACTATTTGGCTCTTCCACTCAGCCTGTGAAAGGTCTCCACCACCCATTGTTGAGAAGCCGCAGTGGGGGAAGTAAATAAAATCTTCCCTTTAGAAAGGAGGGGGTGGGAAAAGATATCACAATAACCAAGGAGTAGAACGTCACTGGCTATGGGGGGGGGGGGACAAAAAAACAATAGGAGGTAAGCTCTTAAACATCTGCAAGAAAAAAAATATAGCCCCGTGCATTTCATTTCAAGGGCAAAGAACTGACTAAGTTACTGACTCATCATCAGTAGAGACAGTGCGCGCAAAGCATTCCACCAGGAAATCTGCATTCCCCTTGTCAGTGCTGATGCAGTTCATTAAAGGGCTCATCAGATAAATGTCAGTGTTGAGAATCTGGAGTTTATTGTGAGAGGCACGGGGGCCCTGAAAAACACTCTGTTCCTAATGAATGGGTCCTATTTCGAGCTGATGTCCCACATTCCAGAGAGCCAGCGTGGTGTAGTGGTTAAGAGTGGCAGATTCTAATCCAGAGAACCGGGCTTGATTTCCCACTCCTCCACATGAAGCCTGCTAGGTGACCTTGGGCCAGTCACCTCCAGAGCTCTCTCAGCCCCACCCACCTGACAAGGTGCCTGTGGTGGGAAGGGGAAGGTGATTGTAAGCTGCTTTGAGACTCCTTAAGGTAGCTTAAGGTAACTGCCAACCTAGCAGTTCGAAAGCAAGAAATTGCAAGTAGATAAATAGGTACCACTTCGGTAGGATGGTAACAGCGTTCCATGCGCCTTGGTGTTTAGTCACGCCGGCCACATGACCACGGAAACGTCTTCGGACAGCGCTGGCTCTTCGGCTTGGAAACGGAGATGAGCACCGCAACCCTAGAGTCGGACTCGACTGGCTTTCGAGCAAGGGAACCTATACCTTTAAGGTAGAGAAAAGTGGGATGTAAAAACCGCTCCTCTTCTTGGCTGCCTTTGGTCCAGTAGCAAGGCTGATAGCCACATGCTCAGAACTTTTATGTGTTGGAAGCTATGGGCAAATCATCTGAAAACGGATCTGGGAGACTCCAAACTGGCCACTGGCTTCAGGATGATCTGGGGAGCTGCGATGCAGAAGCCCCACCCCCACCTGCTATATGCAGTGGAGAACCTATGGAGAGAACCGATGATTCACGTCTTGCACTATGAACCTTGTGGTCTGTTGAAACGGCTGAAATCAGGTTCCACTTACACAGCCGGAAAACTGAAGAAGCCGAAGGAAACACATCTTCCAAATATCTAGAATGGGCATCTTTGCAAAGGCTTTTTGGAATATGTTATGACTATGTGGACTCCAGGTTCCTATGCAGTATTGTTCTTTGCGAAAGCGATGGCAAACTTAAACAGCATGATAGAAAGTAGAGACATCACCCTGCCAACAAAAGTCCGCATGGTCAAAGCAATGGTATTCCCAGTAGTCATGTATGGCTGCGAGAGTTGGACTATAAGGAAGGCCGAGCGCCAAAGAATAGATTCTTTTGAACTATGGTGCTGGAGAAGACTCTTGAGAGTCCCTTGGACTGCAAGAAGAACAAATCAGTCAATCCTCAAAGAAATCAACCCTGACTGTTCCCTGGAAGGCCAGATAATGAAACTGAAGCTCAAATACTTTGGCCACCAAATGAGAAGGGGGCACTCACTGGAGAAGACCCTGATGCTGGGAAAGATTGAAGGTCAAAGAAGACGGGGACGGCAAAGGATGAGATGGTTGGACAGTGTCATTGACGCAACGAACATGAAATTGAGCCAACTTCAGAGGACAGTGGAAGACAGGAGGGCCTGGCGGGAGCTGGTCCATGGGGTCGCAAAGAGTCGGACTTGACTATCAAGTTATCAAGTTACACTGAGCACATGGACCTTATGTCTTATTTTCTAAGGAGGAAATATTGTATCTTATGCTTTAATATAGTTATAGTATGCATTAATGTTGCTGTTGTGACACCACCAACTTTATAATTGTTTAATATATTGTTTTGGCAATCTTTGATGGTGTTTTCTACTAGTGGAATTTGTATATTTGGGACTCCTGTGACACTAGTCTTTCCCCCTTGCTGTTTGGCTATATGCAGTGGAAGCGAAGGCCTGTGGCAGGCATAATTCACCTATAATAATAGGATCCATCCACCTGTGGCATGTATAACTTCGCAGGAAACGAACCTAGGAGTCTCAAAACTGCCCACTGGCTGCAGAAGGATCGTTGTGTCCCCCACTCCAAATCTGCAGTGGAAATTAAGGTTGCCTATGGCAGGCGTCACCTATAATAATAGGATCCATCCACCTGTGGCATGTATAACTTCGCAGGAAACGAACCTAGGAGTCTCAAAACTGCCCACTGGCTGCAGAAGGATCGTTGTGTCCCCCACTCCAAATCT